GAGTTTATGTTCATGTTTATGTCTGTGCAGGTTTCTCTTGGAAGCTCTGGAGGACCTGGACAGCAGTCTCAAGAAGCTCAATTCCAGGCTTTTTGTAGTCAGAGGCCAGCCTACAGATGTGTTCCCCAGGCTTTTCAAGGTCTGTATTCCTGTCAGTTGCTTCTCCTCTGTTATTCCTCATCTGCAAAGAATGTTCAGATAGTACAGATGCAGAATTTGCATGTGGGATATATTTATTTTTACATTTTTCTCACTGAAATTGCTGTTCTAATATTTTTCTGCATCTAAAACTAGATTAAAGATCTAGAACTGAACAAGTTCACATTCATACGTCTATCATTTGCATACAAAAACCAAACCTTTTATCTATGTTTTCAATGCTTTTAGCTAATGCATTACAATCAATTTAGCTCTCTGTTAACCATTTATCTAGTTATAAGGTAACATTTTATGCTACCTTATAACAAACCAATTCTCTGGCCCATTGTTTCTTTTAAGCCTGCCATGTGTTTTGCTGCTATCATCTGCTACCATCAGTGTGAACAGGAAACACAACAGATGAAGTGGCTGTCAAATACATTTCATTTTCTTTACTTCTTATTTCTGTTCAAACTGACCCATTTGGAACAATCCAGTTTGGCATTGTAAACCGAAGCTTGAATGCACAACTTGAATACAACAGTTTGACTTGGTGGTCTGGGTTATAAGTAGGCACATGGTAGATCTATACAAGACTTACAAACTGTTAAAGCCAAAGATTTAATTAGTTCTTTGATCATTGTTACTATTTAACATCCTTCTTTCGAATTCTTTTATTCTTTGCTGCAGGAGTGGAACGTGACCAGGCTGACCTTTGAATATGACCCAGAGCCTTACGGGAAAGAGAGGGATGGCGCAATCATTAAGTTGGCCCAAGAATTTGGAGTGGAGACCATTGTCAGAAACTCTCATACCCTCTACAACCTAGATAGGTTTGTGTTTTCCACACAATTAGTCGATTTCTAGTGGTATTCCCACCACAAACGCAGGTATTATACAACTCCATTTAGTCTCTTCCTTCCTGTATCAGCAGTCCATTCTTGTATAACGACAGGAGCTCTTTATTGACAAGTGTTTGAGAAGTAATTTTAAAAAGTAATTCTTTTACCTTAACAAAAGGTAATGAATAAGTCTTCATAGTCTGCTGTAACCAGTATTTGATAGCAAGCTTATGGACTCAGGTATCATTTTCCTTTTGTTTGTTTGTTGTTTTAACTTGTTAATCCAATTCTCAGTTACGTATAGTCAAGCCCATTTGGAAAATGACAATTTTGACCTCATACAACAACAACAGTGGCTTTAAAATTAAGCAGTTGTGAATTAAAGTGTCGACCTGCACCTTTAATACTGAAACTGATGACTGGGTTTCCTGCCTTGAGGTGATGGCCTAGATTTAGCTTCTGCTGTCTTTGGTTGATACTTGAATACCTTCCTCAGTTTTGTATTCAGGAAGTGAATCACATGCTCAGTCAAACTGAACTCAAGTGACTGACTAATCCTATAACAAATATGTGAAATTAATCAGCTAGCTGATTAAACACAGATGCTCTTGCAAACTTACATCTTAAGAACAGTTCATTAATAGTTTTATTTATTAACTGTTGTAACATTACTCAGTGTTTTCCTTGGTTAATATCACCGTGTGGTTCACCTGGAAAATAATTTCCTGATGGCTTTTTGGTACCAACATCTGGCAACTCACTTAATACAGTCTGTCCCTAATCATTAAAAAATGTGGTAATGTCAGTGTTACATCAGGGCGCACCAATTGACCATTGCTTTTAATCACTTGTTCAAAGGCTGAGCATAGAGTGTTGTCACGCCGTGTGGAGCCCCTTTACATATTGCCGGCACACTGTATTTCCCAGACTTCTCTCCCAGAGAGGCCACTGGTAAACTGATACAGATATGTTGCTGTGTGTTACTCAAATTTTCTTCCTTTTCTGTTTTGCTACAGGATAATAGAGATGAACAACAACAGTCCTCCTCTGACGTTTAAGCGTTTTCAGACTATTGTGAGCAGACTGGAGTTGCCTAGGAGACCTCTGCCTCCCATCACTCAGCAACAAATGGACAAATGTCACACCAAAATAGAAGACAACCATGACCAGCTATACAGTATCCCTTCTTTAGAAGAATTAGGTACGCATAATTTATCTTTTCACGTAAAGTTTTTCTATAACATTTATGTTTTTAATCTGATTTTAAGAAAAATAATTAATGGTTTGCAAACTACACAACTCTACTTTCCTTATTTATTGAATCTAAAGTTAACACATTGATCTGTATTTGAACTTATTTTGATGTGCCCAGGTTTCAGGACAGATGGTTTACCTCTGGCTGTGTGGCATGGAGGAGAGTCTCAGGCATTGGACAGACTCGGTAAACATCTGGACAAAAAGGTAAAGCTAAAGTCAAAGTGCTTTAATTGGTCTAATCCAGAATCCAGGAGTTTATTTTGAATGCTAAGTTGCATTGGCTGATTTTTTTTGTTTGTTTGTTTACTTTTGTCCTCCTTGTTCTTAAACTTTCAGTAAATGCCCACAGAATAGGGATAAATTAGTAATTTGACAGTGTTGCCTCCTTGCTCTCCTATCCATACCTACTTACCTGGTAATCTCTGGATGTAATGCAAGTTTTTCCGTGTACGATGGTTAAAATGGTTTTATCGTAACAATCGTGTATACAAGATGGCTGCTGTGTTTGCTTCGGATTACTCCTCACCCCTGTTGCTTGTCACGTGCTCCATAATGTTGTGCTGTGGACATTTATGTGCTTTCTGTGTAGAGGAGTGTTTTTGTTTCCTGTTCTCATGCTGTCCTCCCAGGAGCCCAGCATGAGTAGAGGTCTCTTTTTTCCCTCTTGGACTTTCCCATTGTAGTGTACATTTCAGTGTTTTTCCATAATACTACCGATCTCCGACCTGTCTCCCCATGTGATGTCTGTGTTGTGTATGTAAGGTCGGGGGGGGGTCCCATTTCACTGCAGGGCAACTTGCATGTGACAAATAAAGTTTTCTTGAATCTTGAATCTAGTAATCTAGGCACTTGTTGGGTGCCTGGAAGCAAAATATATCAATGATTTGTCTCCTAGCGTAAAATGTTACTCTTTTGGAGTGAGAACATGTTGGAATAATCTATTAAAGAGGTGTGAAGCCGGCGGCGCCCTCCAGACGTCCAACCTCCACCACTTCGTTCTGGCAGCCACTAAGGAACAGGAGGAACACGGCAGTCACTCTTCTTTAATTACCCAAAGCACCTTATAATCCTTAGCTGGGCGAGACTGAGCTCCGAACTTCGGCCGCCGCTGCCTTAGGTTCAAGCACATATCAGGTCTCCTGAACCAGGCGTCCGGCCGTCACCTCTCTGCTCATCACTCGATTGTGTGTCTCTCTGTCCTCGGGTCTAGCCGCTGACAGAATATCCTCTGGTTCCGCTCGTCTCTGTCTCATCCCAAAAACCTGCCTGCATCCGCCAATCGAGCATCACTCTCCTAGAATGTCCAGGGTGCTGTATTCAGGCTTCCGTGCTGCCCTCTGCGACAGCCACCTGCCACTGGCTACCACTCCATTTCACTTCCCCCTGACTCTTCTTCTTCTTCTTTCAAGTTTAACGGCAGCTTGCATCCAAAATTGTTGCATTACTGCCATCTCCTGCCTTTTTTTCCTCATAACTTTTGCACTGTCCACTTCCTGCTGTGACAAAACAAATTTCCCACGTGTGGGACTAATAAAGGTTATCTTATCTTATCTTAATCTTCCGTCACTCCTGAGTCCTCAGATTCTCTGAATGAGACCAGAATTCCTCAAAAAACAAAGAACCACCCCTTTCCCTTCACCATGACTTAACTTATCAACCACTTGTTCAAACGTAAGTTCCCTTCCACCACTCATTTCACCCCTCATCACCCTCCTGTGACTTGCATACTTCCTACAACTAAGAAGCACATGCTCAACCATCTCCATAGCATTGCACCCATCACACAACCCGTTCGGATGTTTCCCTATCTTAAAAAGAGCACCATTTAAAAAGCAGTGGCCTGTTCGTATTCTACTGATAATAACCTCCTCCTGTCTCTTTAAACCGCTACTCCTCTCAGCTTCTATTGTGTTTTGAACCCTATATAAATGTCTCCCTTTTGTGTCAGTATCCCATGCCATTTGCCAGAAGTTCTTACTTTCTGTCCAAACTATACTTTTCCCTTCAGATTTTGACAGTGGTATCTGTACATCTATATTCCCCCTGACTCTGTTCTGCCAGGCCCTCTTATTGGCCCCTGTGACCTCCCAGGTGTGTCCATTGAGCAATCAGAACTGGGCGGAGTCTCTCCGGCACACGTTAACAAATATACACACTAAAAAACATGCAATCAGTGCAAGTATAAAAACACTCAACAAGAAAAACAAACACAAAGCACAGCAACACATGCAAAGTTAAAACATGTGACACATTCATCCCATCAGGAAGATGAGGCAGACACCAGATGGAGCGCCCACGGCCAAAGGGTGAGAGTCTGTGAAAAGGCTCCTGTTCTTAGCTCAAGAGCCACTCACATGGTCCAAGCCACCAAGGACCAAGGGAGCAGCCCATGCCAAAAAGTCCAGATACAGAGGCTGTATAATTTCCCTCAGGGATTATTAAAGTATTCTGATTCTGATCCTGTTCTTGCAAATGCAAAATGTGTTTGGCACCACAGCGCATTCAGATCACAATTCTGTTCGGAAAAGATGCCAGATACGATCAGATATTAAAAAGAGAAACAAAAAGCACTTCTCAGGAAATGCCATCCCTTTACTGTAAAGGGCAGTGACTGTCGCTCCACCCCCAATCAAGATGATATAAAGATGGAGTGATGTGCTTTCAATTTTAATACTTCCCTTCTCTTCTGCTTGCAGACAGATGTGAAATATGGTGTGAAATATTAAAACCTGTAAGTATTCCACGCATCTCTACTGACTGATGGATTCACACATTCCTGATGCTTTTAAATGCATATTGTGGATACAAGCTCATCTATATTCTCTCCTTTTAGAATCATGAGCAGAAACTTCTTGTCCAAAAATGATGAGCTCCGCAGGGGAGACTACCTGGTGTCCAACAACAAGCAGTTCAAAGCTATATTTCAGGTGACTAAATGTTCTCAGTTCAGAAGCTCATAAAAGCCTTGTTTCCCAGTCATGCGTGTTGACAGTTATCTAACATATAATTTATGGCTGCAGGATGATGGTAACTTTGTCATCTATGGCTGGAAGCCTTTGTGGGCTTCGGACACCTATGGATCAGACGCCGTCCGTCTGTGCATGCAGGCTGACTGCAACCTGGTCATGTACAACAAATGTAACACGCCTAGGTGGAGCACAACCTCTTACGGACCTATCGCCAACATGTGCCGTCTTCAATTGACTGATGACGGCAAACTGGTGGTGAACAGAGAGTGCGAAGAAATCTGGAGCTCTGAAACGTCCAAAGGCATGAAGTGATGCTTGTGTGTGACCATCCTTTGGCATAAACCTTCAACGATGCTATTAAAGCAACATATACCAGCGCATAAACAAGCCGTTCCTTTTTCTTTCTGGTTAGCGTTGATCAGGCTCTGAATTTCTGCTATGAATGTGCATGTTCAGTGCCGTAAAACACAAAGGATTGTAACCAAGTGGCAAAAAATAAATAAAATGAAAGGTATTTGACCAACCTTGAGTCTCTCTTTGTCCCTCTCTTGTTCTGTTTGTTTATATTTCTGCCGTTAGACAGATTTTCTTAAATATAAATATTGTTGCAAAGGTGTAGGAAGCAGTCTTAAAACTTTGAGGTGTGTAGCTGATAGCAAAACTACACAGATTATGTAGATTCCTCCAATGACCATTAGACATGTTTTCATTTTTATTTCTTTATTTCACGTCACTCGTGATCAGAGTCCAAGAGTCTGAGTGTTTATGGTGCAGAGGAAGAATATGATTCAAATCAAATGATTGTTATTTGCAGCTGCGAAGAGAGACCACAAGGTGTCACTCTAATGCTTCTGTAGTTTATGTTCATGTGAAACATTTGACATAAAAAGAAAATTACTACATTTGAAAATCTCCTTTTTTTTTTTTGAATCACTTATTCAATCCAGAGTTGTGGGGAGACTGGAGCCTATGCAGGTGCCAGGAGGTGAATGGTAAGGTGCACCCTGGACAGGTTAGCAGTCTGTCGCAGTAGTAACACAGAGACACACAATCATTCATGCATGTGTTTGGATTATGAGAGGAGGCTGAAGAGAAAACATGCAGGTACAGGGAGAACAGACCAACTCCACACAGAAAGGCTCCAACCAGCTGGCAGATTCAAACCCAGGACCTTCTTTCTGTGAGCTGACAGTGATAAACGCTGCACCGCCATGTTTCAAAACACATTCATACTGTTTTATACCTGCAATTTCTAAATGGTAACAACAGTGTTGTAGTTTTCTGCAACACACAGAAACACACAAACTCAGCTGTACTAAGAAATAAACATCATGTAATCCTGAGCTGCGTTCATAGGCAGGATATTTAAGGACATTAATAACGGATTGCATTTATATAGCGCTTTTCGGGGCCCTCAAAGCGCTGTACAATACCACTATTCATTCACTCTCACATTCACACACTGGTGAGGCAAGCTACATTGTAGCCACAGCTGCACCCTGGGGCAGACTAATATTTAAGCGACAAGTTATGATATATCGACTTATGTGAGCTGTTAATAATGAATCAGATCCATTCTGGATCTATATTATCCAGGCTTTGACAGCTTTTGCGTGTTGTTCAATTTTGCATTTCAAATTTATTACTTTATTGTATATTTGTAAGGACTGATAAATTAAATTTTATTATTTGCACGACAAAATTTATGTTTCTGGAATCTAAGGAGTGCTGATCACATCAATTAAACAGATAATGTGCAAAATTTTAAAAAATGGTTTGACAGGAATAAACTAAGTAAAACTAAAATAGTCTTATTTGGGAATTCCCTGAGAAACGCACAAGTGCATATTCATATAGATGGTCTGGAAATTGAAAGAGTTGTTGAACACAAGTTTCTTGGTGTGATAATAGATGATAAATCATGCGGGAAGACGCATATAACTCATATACATAACAAAATTTCAAGAAGTAATTCAATAAATAGGGATTTCAATAAACAAACAGGACTAAGATGCGAACTTGACAGAACTAAACAAGACATGACTGAGGAAACAGAAAGGGAGGCAGGAACAACCAGGGTTTCATAAACCAGACTGAAACAAAGACATGCTGCTATCAGAAAGTATAAAAAACCAGAACACAAAAGAAGACCTAAGTCAAAGACTCGTAGGACTTTAAACACTCCATCGGCATTAATCACAGATGGCGTCGTTCAAACTGCACTTTGAAATTTAGAGGACCAGCAGGTTTGTTACCAGACTGTGACTTGCCAGAGCACGTCAGTACATGTTAAAGAAGTTTTATTCTTTATATTACATGATTGAATTTGCATTTGTGGATGCAGTGATGAGCTGTGGAGTCTTAAGATGATTTAGACTCACTGCTTTGATGCACTGCTGCCGGAGGGCCTGGAGATCAAAGCCATTCAGTAGTGATTTAGGAAATTTTTATTATGAATGTTTTATTTATTTATTTATTTATTTATTTATTTATTTAAATCTGGATCCCCATTAACATCAGGCTGAGCCTTTCTTCCTGCAGTCCTCACACATTCAATCCAGCAACTGCAACACATGAACATCAAACCAGCAGATTGTTCTCACACAGAAAGCTCCGAGTTTCACAGAGAAAAGAAATATGAAGAATCTGCATTACATCACACAACAATCATTCTAACAAACTCTCCAGGTTACTACACGTCCCATCTACATGCCGTCACGATCTCCTGGTCGATGCACCCGTTTCTCTCCATCTCCCTCTGTATGTGTGTGTCCTTGTATCTTTCAGGGGTGGATTCCCGCTCCTTTGGTGTCACACCTGTGAGTCACTGTTGATTATACACTTGGTTCCAGTCGGCTCATTACGAGCGATCTATTCAAAACACCAGGTCGTTGCACCACATGTGACACCCACCGATGTGAAGGAAGGCACCTGTGCACGGCAGAGAGGTCAGATAAAGGTGTCTGAGAGCAAAGTTAGGGGAAAAAGAGTTTTAGAGGAGACAGAGTAGCCATCTGGACATCACTTACCCCCCTTGTCACTCCACCCTTCAGAGCTTTCCTGGGTTGCTTTAGCAATAAACATCCCAAACTTTTATTCCTTTGCACTGCCCTTGCACCCAGGTTTTCACCAATGCACAACGCATAAACCCACCAGCTTTATTATTCGAACAGTTGTAATTTCAGCCTTTTCTGGTTGAAATAATACTGTTTTATAAATAGTTAAACTATTCAGCTGTGTAAATCACCATTTTCTGAATATTACTTGTTTTAATCTTTGGCACTCTAAATCTTTGTGTTACAGATCATGTTTGATAGGTAGTATGTTGAGTAAAAGGCAATATAATACATTTGGCCACAGCTCTGATTAAAATTTACAGAGCATAGGATGATCTCCTAACAGTTAGCCAGCCCACATGCATTTAATTAAATTAGTTCTGTAAGAGCATTGAAAAGCAGGTTTATTTTGAGCTACTTGTAACCTTTTAAATTTCTTCCTGTCACGGTCCTGGGTCGATGACCCAGTGTTTTGTGTTCTGTGTTATTATTAATGTTTGATTTAAACATGGTTTATCATTACTAGTCTTTTGGGTTATGGTTCATTTCTAGCTCTAGTTCCTCTTTGTTTTGTGATTTCTAGTTCTTGGGTTTTGTTCCTGTGCCCCTCATGTTTAGTGTAGGTTTAGTTCTGTCTTCATGTTTATTTATATGGTCACCTGAAATGGTTTTCATTTCTCAGGTGAGCCTTGTCAGGGTTCATTTGTAGAATTTCTTCCCTTCTTAATGGGGTTGGGACCATCAATTGTATTGTGCAGAAGTCAGGTTGGTGCACAGCTAACAGCCCATATTATGGCAAGAACCAATCAGCGAAGTAAAGAGAAATGAACTGAAGGTCAGTCAGTCCTGAAAATTGCTGAAACTCTGAGTTTATCCCAAGTGCAATCATAAAAACCATCAAGCATTACGACAAAATCGGCTCACATGAGGACCGCCCAGGAAAGGATCCAAGAGTCACCTCTGCTGCTGAGGGTAAATTCACTCGAGTCACCAGCCTCAGAAATCGCAGGTTAACAGCACCTCAGATTAGAGCCCAGATAAATGCCACACAGAGTTCCAGAAGCAGACACATCTCTACATGAACTGTTCAGAGGAGACTGTGAATCAGGCCTTTATGGTCAAATATCTGCTAAGAAACCACAACTAAGGAAAAGCAACAAGCAGAAGAGATTTGGCTGATTAGTCCAAATTTGAGATCTGTGGCTTCACCTGCTGTGTCTTTGTGTGATGCAGAAAAGGTGGATGGATGCTCTCTACATGCATGCTTCCCACTGTGAAGCATGGAGGAGGAGGTGTGATGACGGTGACACTGTTGGGGATTTATTCAAAACTGAAGGCACATTGAACCAGCATCATGTCGCGACGCACCATCTCATCCGGTTTGCATTCAGTTGGGCCATCATTTATGTATTAAATAGGACAATGACCCCAAACACACCTCCAGGTTAAGGACTATTTGACCAAGATGGAGGATTGATGGAGTGCTGCGCCAGATGGCCTAGCCTCCACCGTCACCTGATGTAAACCCAGTCGAGATGGTTTGGGATGAGATGGACCGCGAGGGAACGCAAAAGGGCCAACAAGTGTTCAGCATCTCTGGGAGCTCCTGTTGAAAAACCATTTCAGGTGACGACCTCATAAGGCTCATCAAAAGAAGAAAGAAAGCAGTAATCAAAGCAAAGTGTTTGAGTTATGTCACACTTTTATGTTTTCTACATAATTCCATGTGCATTCATTTATAGTTTTAATGCTTTCAGTGAGAATTTACAATGTAAGTAGTGTTGAAAATAAAGAAAAAACATTAAACGAGAAGGTGTGTCCAAACTTTTGACTGGTAGTGTGTTTCAAATGCATTCCTCATGAATGATAACAAGTCATCTTAAGCCACAAACAACATTCCTGTCACAAAGTAGAAGCTGCAATCAGTTTTTCTCAAAGTAATTTTCATGTATCCTTTATTTAAACAGTTAGAAAGCGTCACTGACATTAAAAATGTCTACTTTCAAATGGATCTGACCAATATCGAATATGGAAATTGCAGCAAATATAACAATATTTAGATATTTTAAATGGCCACAAAAGTCTGAATCGGTTGTGAAGAAGGTACAAAAACAAAGAGTCATGAAGATACTGGCAGAAATTTTATTTGTTTATTTTGTAAATGACCCTTTGATAAATCCTGTTGACTACAGTCTATTTACCAATACAAGCAAAGACACTACACATAAAAAACACGCACATAGAAACATCAGAAATCACCAGTCATGGCAG